AAAGTACTCAAGTACTGAAGTAAAAAGTAACAACAAAATTATCAATTGCCTCAAATATTAAAATAAATCCACAGTAAATTATACAAAGCTAGTTAACTAAAGATAAAAATAAGACAGCATTACACATGTTTATTTACAAATCTTTCTACTGATATTGGAAGCATAACGTGTTTTCTAATGGTAGATTCTGCTGCCATATGGCACCACAAAAATTGTGACCAAGTCCCAGGTTGCTGATCTGTCATTTCTCACTCTTGATTTTTTTTTTTTTATTATTTATGGTTATCATTTTTATTATTACTGTACTGTAGTACTATTATCTTATTTATTAAATTTTTATTTATTATTATATCCCCCCCTCCCCCAGGCCCTGATGTAGGTCAGTGACCTGTGTCCGGGTGGGCAAATCCCTGTTAAAAAAAAAATAAAATTCTTGAAATTATGGCTGACCAAGCAGGATCTTTTAGGCCTAAATATAAGCCCAGCATGACCTACCGAAAGAGAATACATTCAGTCGCTCATCTCCCAACAATACATCGTAGGGATAGTGAACCGGCTGAAAACATATCCATCCAACACTAGGATCACTTTCTTCCTTATCCACACTAGTATAGTCGATGTGGACTTACGATCCGCAGATATAATGTTGTATCTGCTCACATTAGGTTAGGATACAGACCTATCTGGCAGGTATGTGAGGCGTGGGATGATCCACACTACACTTCCTGTACACTCTTTAACTGTCCCAATGCTAAAACCCTTCAACACTATTGCCTTGACTGTCCCCCTGTCAGGGACATCCTACCAAAGGACAAGTCACTAACCACTATATGTCACCACCTACTTATTCATAATAATTTAGATTTAATTCTTGTACACTACCCACACTTTGATGGGTGGTAGCTCTCATTGTCCTTAAATCATATCAATATTGTCTCCATATCACAAGTCATAGCGTGTCCTGCGAGACACAAATAGCAATATACTGTATTAGTGTCTGACTGCATGGTCTTGTCACCAAGATTGTCGCTCCCTAGAGTGTAAAAAATTAATTCAATAATAAATTATAAGCCCAGCATAACGAAATAAATGCTCACAAGCAGCAGATGCAGGTAGTGGGGTGTTAAGTTTCAGAGATAAGTCACATAATGTCAGGAAAGACCTCAGTAGTTCCATTCCATTCTCAGGGCAAGCCAAATAGCTATCAAGCTCTTTCAGTTGAGGAGTTTGTGGATGATTGTTGCCTCCATAGTGATTGACTCTGACTAAGACTCACCATGAAATGCCCCTCTAATTGGTGTGTGGCTGTGGTGACATCACTTTTTTATTCTAATTGATGAGTGGCTGAATTTTTCACACCACGTAACATCTGGCGGATGCTGGGGGGCAGCGATACTAGTTATTTAAGCAGATTTTTAAATACACTCAGCCTCACACATGCTTAGATACAGTACAGGCTTTATATCTAAGACGAAATTATGTAACGCATTTTAGAATCACAGCCTCCTTGAAATTCATTTTAGGCACAGGTATATGCAAAGAGCAATTAACGTCAAACGAAAAGATCAAACCCCCTGAAGGAAAGGTGGGGGAGGGGGTATAAGAGAGTACCTGTATAGGCTACCGGGTAGGTGAGGTGGGTGGTCAAGGTGCTAATGGACACAAGAAGATCAAAGGGAAAGTCTGCTGTCATGGCCACTGCCACACAGTACACTTTGTGGCTCCAGCCACAACTCTTTTACTATGGTTAATAATGAATTAAAACATTTACTGTATTATTAGTTTGCATGTAACAAGCAACAATTTTTTTTTTCAATTGTATTTGAGTAAAAGCATTAGAAAACCATACTTAAGTAACTGTAATAAAAATTTTGATTATTTTTTATAATGTAAATACAAGTACCCAAAAATTTTACCTGAGTACTACAGTACTTAAGTAAATTTATTTAGTTACTTCACAACTCTGCTTCAAACTCATATTGTGCATGTATGTTTAATAAGCCTACCTAAAAACATATTTAAATTAATGTTATAAAATAATTGGGATATACAGAACTGTATATATTTTGTAAATGTATGATATCCTAACCTTGCCACCACAATAATACCGGTAACATGTTTTCCTTGTGATTTTGTCAAAATGGTTTTCATGCATAATGGTGGTGAAGCCATGAAAAAACTACATTGAGCTTACTAAGACAACCACTAGTAAGCTGCATGCCTCATTCCATGAAAAAATAACTCGGTGATTTCACCATGAAATGACAACAATCATTCAGTGGTTTGCTTTGACTAAACCAAAAATATTTCTGGTTGTTTTTGTCAACTTGCTGAAAGAGTAAAGGAGTTGACTTACTTGCCATTGTTTAAGTAAATGCAAATTCATGTTTTCCTTCCTTCATCATCTGACTTCCATTCTTTACAATAAAAAATGCAAGTGGTTATTTGTCAGATCACAGACCTTTACAGTACTGTACTTGCCTCTGTTATTTGTCCAGCAGTCATTCTGACTGGTTGAGGCAGAAGACGCTAATGACCTAGATTACTGAATTCGGTCGCTTGCAAACACGGTTTGGTTTGGTTAGGTTGGCAAGTGACCAAATTCAGTAATCTAAGATCTGTCATCAGTTTCAATCAGAATGAATACCGGGCAATTAGCAAAAGTAAGCACAGGTCCGTAACCAGACAAATAAATACAGCCATACACAAGTGGTTATTTGTCTGGTCATGATGTCATTAGCCTTGACCAATCAAGAATGAATGCAGAACAAATAGTGGAAGTCAGTCAAGGTCCATGAATGAACAAATTAATCAGAGTACTGTACTGTCCCATCCTCATATCAGCAGGGTTGGCAACCATAGTTCTCCAATCTAAATGTTCTCAGGTTGTTTTTACCAATTCTTTAAGGGTTTTTTTATCTCTCTGGGGACCCAGTTTTTAATTTCATTCATCCATCTCAGTCTCTGCCTTCCCTTGGCCCTCCTGCCTAAAAAATATGCTTTAAAGGAAATCCCCAAAAAGCAAATAATTATTAGAATCTAACCTAACAACTCTCAAATACAGTACTGTACCAGTATTCTTAGTTTTCACGTGACGTCACATACTCCAGAGATCATCAGAAGGACCCGACTTAATATATCCAGGGGGTTCTGCCACCTGTATCCCCCGGTGTGTGAACCTAATCTAACCTAACTAGAAAGTATTTATATTTTATGATGAAATGTTGTACAACAGATTCCACAGTAAAGGCGTGCAACTGGTCTTGCCTACTACCTTACACTTGATCCCCAAAACCACTAGTTTAGGAATGCTCACAAAGACTTCCCAGATTGGCAGCATTAAATGGTATTATCATCGTTTTGGTCATCCAGTGATTCTTAGGATTTTAAGTACTGGAATCAGTAATTTAGACAATTCTAAGACACTTTTCTTTTATGGTATTTTTCCCGCTCGTGAATACTTTAAGAGAAAATTGCAATAAATTTTAGGGAACTCTTCGTATTTTTTTTTAAGTTCTTGTTATTGTTACCACCGTCTCAGAGAGCTCCTGTGTGTTCGTTTATTGGTTACTATGCTCATTTCGCATGTGCTAGAGTCTGACACATGCACAATTATTCTTTAGATGTTGAATGGTGGGTATGGTTTTGAATCAACCAATCACAGCTCGGCATAGCCCCCCCCCCCCCACCTCCTCAGTCAGAGAAAGCAGCCAGGCAGTGCGCTAATGTGGATGACGAGGAGTAGGATCTCATGACCCCAAATTGGAGTCTTCTGAGTCTAGTTAAGTTAAGGTTTAGGGTTAAGTTAGGTTAGGTTTTGGATTACGATGACCGTCATTTCAATCGCAAATTACTCCTTTTGGTAATTTTCCCCAACCTAAAACCCCATTATTTGTTTTTCTCTGAAAATAATCATCAGCAGAAAAATGACATAGAGAACAAGTGTTTTAGAATTGTCTAAACTAGTGATTCCAAAACTTAAAATAAAAATAAATCGCTGGACGACCAAAATGATAAATTTATTCGTTAAACTGCCTCGTCATACAAAGTCTTCTTCAATATTTCACACTGAGCTTGTCACTAAAGCAAATGGTAATGAAAACCTCCTCAGCAGTATTTCCCACAAACTTCGAAATAATTCCATTCCTTCTTAGAAGCAATAAATTCCAACCCATATAGTGACAGACTTAAACTTACCCCATGTCTGCCAACACCCTCATCAACCTCCATCCCTAAGGTTTACCCCTCTTAACAACCTCCTAATCCCCCACTTTTGTTATGCCCTAAAATTATCAAGATTGGGATGTGTCAATCCCTTGTGTGTACACTGGCAGATAATTATTATGAACAGTTGACTAATATCCACCGGTGAAAGCATACCACTCATTACCTATATTATCTGAGTTTTTAAAAAGTAATAATCAAGTACCTTGTATATGAGAGACATATAAATCACGTGAACAAGTCAATTCCTACACCACTTTTCTTGGGCTATCCTTGGTTCAATCAACTTTGTCTATGTGCACTGACTATGTACATGCTGAAGCAATGTGGCCTTGTATTACTATTTAACTGAATTAATATCAAATCATCATTTATGTGACACAGTCTATGAGTGTATCTGTCTTCAGGCTGTGGTGTTGGAGATGACATGACAAGCTCCTTCCTTGCCTCACCCACCTTAACTTATAAACAGTTATTACACAAATTAACAAGCGATTACATTAAATTTGATAAATACCTAAGAGACCCCATACATTATAGTAATTCTCATAAGAGTGTATGTATTATTTATGGAGGTATGGGCATGAAAGAGGAACATTTGAAGTTGGCGCCAGGCCCCAACACCCGACGCCAACTACGACGCAGACAACGAGTGAAGACATGTCGATATTTTCCAGTGTCATTACCCTGGCCACAACTCAATTTAACCTGTCGACCATAATTTTCTTATCTATGAAATTCTAAGATTTTTATAAATACAAATTAAACTGACAAACCTCACTAGACTCGTTGAAACTATCCATTATTTTGGCAAATTTCAGCCTCTTCCCGCTTCATGTCGAGGAAAAACAACATGGCGTTAAGTGATAGACCAAGATACCACACCATGGTAAATAAATAGTCCATATATTCTTCTTGGTATATACGAAAAATATATTACTTTATGGTACTTACATTTTGAGTACCTTACATCATTTATCATTAACTAACATTGCAATATTCAGCTATATATATTATGTTTATAATGGGCGTTCACACACGAACCTCCTGTTGAGCAATGACGCTTGTGATTGGTCAATATCGTGACGGCTCGTGACGTCATGATACAAATGTTCCTGTAGCTACACGTTCTTCGCATGTACTTTGGTAGTTATCGTAAACGTGCAAAACTGGTCTGAGTTTGATTGATCAGACTATTTTTGAATAGTTAAACTAATTAAAAAATAATGACCGAATATTGGCATAATCAAACAAGCAGCAAGAATTTCACACAAACGTTTTCATCAACTTCAATTTCGGATTCGCACACTTTCTTATTCTTTTAAGATTTAATTTTATGTTGGTTATTTAAAGCCTTACTTGTTTGATAAAATAAAAAAGATGTTTTATATAATTAATATTAAGTATAATAAATACTATGTTTTGTTTTTTCATATTTTTTGTAATTTCTATAATGTGCTGGGCCAAACTGTAAGCTTAAAAGCATGGTCTCTGAACTACAAATGCATTTATATCTAAGACGTACGATACAATTTTGAAAGCTTAATTTGCACATAATAACAATGATTTTATTTCGTTTCTGGCAATTTTATCAGGAAGGAGTTTATAGAATTTGTTTTTTGTTTTTATATATATATATATGAAATAAATATTAACAAAACAGTGCTAACACAAGTGTACGAAGACTTGTACAGACTTCATGGCATCAGTCAATCTCCGAGAGTCAGTTTTAAGTTGGCTGTAAACTTGTTGGGTGTGAGGCGGCGACTGTGTGCAGGACTGACAGATTATAGACAATGGTTGAGGTCGCCGGGGTGAAGGGGGCGATGTCTCCAAGATCTGTTCGGCAAACATCAAGTACTATGAATGGAGACGTAGCTTCACCTGGTATGTGAAATAAATAGATGGTAACTTAATACATTATAATGTGTGTGGCATGACTGTAATATATTTAGGTTAAATATTTCTTAAGTGTTTAGGGCAAAAATTTATTATCCGTTCACCTGTGACTTTTATTCATCTCATATCTGAACCAGATTAATCATCGCGATATTCAGAAAACATTGTCATATTGGAAGAACAAATAGGCCTACTGATAATGTATACAGCCTTAACAACATCAACCTAGAGAAGTCGACTTGTGAAAGAGACCTAGGGGTACTTGTAAGCCCGGACCTACGGCCTAGAAAACAGTGCGTTAATGTTCGAAATAAGGCAAACAGAGTATTGGGTTTTATATCTAGAAGTGGAAGTAACAAGAGTGCAGAGGTCTTATTGCAACTATATCTTGCGCTAGTTAGGCCGCACCTCGATTATGCGGTTCAGTTCTGGTGCCCTGAATGGATATCAATTCACTAGAGTCGGTGCAGCGAAGAATGATGAAAATGATTCCAGGACTTAGAAACCTTCCATATCAGGATAGGTTAAAGAAACTTAACTTGCATTCCCTAGAAAGACGAAGAGTGCAGGGAGATATGATAGAAGTATTTAAGTGGGTGAAAGGAATCAATAAAGGAGATATAGATAAAGTTCTTATAATATCCGAGCAGGATAGGACTCGGAGCAACGGATTCAAGTTGGATAAGTTTAGGCTTAGGAGGGAGATCGGAAGAAACTGGTTCACAAATAGGGTGGTGGACGAGTGGAACAAGCTTAGCAACTTTGTAGTAAGTGCGGGAACTCTGGAAAGTTTCAAAAGGAGGCTAGATAGATTCATGGATGATAGAGAGTGGTAGTAACTCTCGACAGGAGCTGCCATGCACAGGCCAACCGGCCTATTGCAGACTCCTTATTTTCTTATGTTCTTATGTATATAATCCTCTTGGTAGTTGTGGAAATGTGCTCCCTGTGGTAACCTGTGTCGCCAAACGCCAACGTCGCGGTAGTAGTAACGCTATTTATAAATGAATAGGTATTGGTCGTGTAACGACTGACGTGATTGGTGGATTGGATAGGGTTGATATAAGTGGTACCTACAAACTTTGTAGGTTCATAACTTCATAACCGGTAACTTATGAATGCTGGGACAGACGGACAGTTGTTATGCAGTGAGGTAGTGATTAAATAAAGCGGAAAACAAGATTTCATGTGAAAATCAGGCTTAGCTGTGCATGCTTCCTAATTAACATACAACAGTGAAATATGGTATGCTGAGCAGGTATATCAAAATATTCGGCTCACTTAGAAGAATCCATTTCAAGATGTGATTGGCTATTCTTACCCCTTTGAATATACTAATGTGAATAGGCAAGATGACTGTGGCCTCTGCACCTTTGGCACTTAAGTTTACATTTTTACTTAAAACATATAAACAGACGTAGCCTATGTCCATGATTACACTAGCATCGACGCTACGTCAACTACACCAGGGGTACTCAATTACTATACTGTATGTGAAGGTCCAGTCATACAATTTTTCTAGATGGCCAAGGTCTGGACTATACAGCATTCAGGGCGATACATAAATGTGGCTAAACATGAAGGCTGATGCTGGTATTGCCCTGACTGTTAAGTCAAAGTAAACGAGGCATTTGCAAGCCATAGGGGAATGAGATTCCTAGGGACGGAAATAGATGAAGCAGGATCCTTGCTGGTTGCCAAACTAGAGCAAGTTGAGAAAGAGATTGGTATTATTGTGTTTACACACCGTTCATTCCTACCACTAATCTATTATCATATTCGAATAAGACGTCTAATTATAAAATAATTTTCATCTATTACATTACCGTCGGAAATGTATAATAACAGAGATAGCTTTTCCAAATAAATTATATTTTCTTCCATTATTTCCCGCCATTATCGTCTGCCTCTCACCCAACACTGCTGTCTCTCGCGTCTCCTTCATAAATCATGACACGCATGCGTACCCGTACACGTCACGCGGCCAATCAAACGCGTTTTTGCTAATTCAGAGTATATTTGGCCCAATCAAAATCAAGTTTTATTTTGGGTCTCATATTTTGAAATTCAAGTTCAGTTCCGACCATGGAAGTCTGCGATGGATGTCACTTAAAGTATATGGAGCTGATTGCGAGTTTTTGGAAAAAACGTAGAAACTATCGCATTTTTTCGATCGCATGGTGTTCTTCCAACCTCAGTAAAGTGTACTAAGAACAAGACGGAATGTAAATATCGCAAAGACCAACATATGTGGTTTTGGGTAAGAATCCCAGAATGCAACGACGAACAAGAACCAGGCCAATAAGGTAAGAAATGCGTGATTCCATCATATGGTGAGAGTCAGTTAAGTTGGGTTAGGTTAGGTTTTTGTTTTTCTAGTGTTTTTTGTGTATTTTTTAGTCGCTTAGCCACTTTTTTTTCTCAGAAAACGTCAAACGAAAAGAAATCGCTAAAAAACCCGGCTAATTTCCGCCAAAAATTAAGGTCATATTCAGTCTAAACATACACAAATACACTCGAAAAATATATTTTTTTTTACTAAAAGTGAACGGTGTGACAATGCAAATTTACCAAGAGATCCTTGCTAAGACTGGGGAAGTAGCTGATGGAATGGAGGGAGTAGTGAAGAAGAGTTATGCTCAGGCTTTAGCAGGGCCACAGAAAGAGGCAGAGAGTAATGCAGGATCCAAACAGATTCTACAGCAGCTAGGGACTCCAAAGAAGTGTGTTGAAGAGATGGCAACTGGTTAGGGGGTGGGGTACAACATAATAGTGTTTGGAGTCCCACAGAGCCAGTCAGAGGAAGCTGAGATTAGGAAAACACACGATAAGATGGAGATTGAGAATATTTGTACACTGAATATGTCAGCCCCCTCCCCCCCCCTCAGGATGTGAGGAGGTTGGAACAAAAGTAGGAGGACAAGCCTCGCCCCCTCAGGATCACACTTGTGAGTGAGGATAACTGTAACTGCCATCCGGGCGGTTAAAGGATTTAATGAAACTTGTGACGTTGAACTCGAACATTATAATTCGATCAAACCTGTTGAATACAATTCATGGATCATACGAAGATCTTCCCCCCCAAAGTATCCAACTGAAGATCCACCCCCCCAGTCGCGCTCATATGAAGATCTTCCCCCCCAAAGTATCCAACCTAACCTAACCTAACCCAACCTAACCTAACCAATAAAAAAAAATAATTATAAAAAACAATTAATTATAAAAAAGTAAGTATAAAAACAAAAATTAATTATAAAAAAAATTAATTATAAAAAACAATTATACAAAAAATTAATTATAAAAAAAACATTAATTATAAAAACAAGGTCAGGTTTGGTCATTGGTCAGGTCAGATCCTCCCATCCAGGCTTGATTATATGAAGACCCTCCCCCCAGGCTAGATCATATGAAGATCCTCCCCCCCAAGTAGGTTTGGGGGGGTGGATCTTCATATGATCCCAATTCATTTTTGTATTTAAACTAAATCATACATGACAATCGTAGCTATGTAATTAGTCTAATCTTAACACTTACAATGCGTACTTAATTCGTCATATTTTGTTGTCACAATGATAAACGATGCAATGGACACAGTCTACCTGTGTACACAATAAGTTCCAGTTAAACTTACGTGTTGAAAGTCTCAAGAGAAACCAGGTTAGGTGTTGCCTCTGTGGTCTGAATAGCTACAGTGCCAATGTACACTGCTGTCGCCTCCCCAATCCTCTCTCGATGGGTTAGGGCTGCTGAGTCAGGTGATCATACACAAACAAACGAGCATGGCCACCCACAAGCTGGTCCTCCTCTGAGCACCCTCACCAACCAGCAAGCAACACCACCTCCTCCACCGCTGCCTGGCGGCCCTCGCTCCCGCCGGCGAGCATGGCGACCCACAAGCTGTCCTCCTCTGAGCATCCTCACCAACCAGCTCTCTCTACATCACTCTTGTAACCACGCTGCCACCAACACCAAGCTGCATTGTACATCCAATACAACATGTATACAGAGAGCACAT